ACTGCTCCCCGGGAGTCCCCTCAAAGGCAGCCCACTGCTCCCCAAGGGGATGGGTTAAATGCAGAGAGTGGATTTCCCCTTACTCTACAGTACATTATGGTACATTACATCAACACACTGTGGGGAGTGTCAGGCTTCCTGTTACATTTATAGCTCACCAGTAGAGGGCGATAAAAAAACAATCATCTCAGGATTACTATAGTACATATTTTTGCTTGCATTTCATTACGATAAGTGTTTTCTTCTACCCAGCACAATCACACCCCCTGAAATTCTGCTAAATTTGGAATGTATAACTCTCCAGACAAGAAAAAGCAGAGAGCTCTGTATGCTAAGGTAAAACAAAAAACCAAAAATAAAAAACTGTGCAATACTAGGGACAAAACTTTGTATTTATGTCAGTTCAAAAACTGTCCCCAAAAAAGGAGTATTTAAAAAAAAAGGAGGCAATCAGTGTCCTAACTAAACTGATGCAAAGGTGCCTTTCACACCTATGAAATGTAAACATTGTTCCCCTAAACCCAAAGTAATACTAAAGTATGTCTGTGGTTAACACTCTTATAACCCTCTTAATTAAACCGAAATGCTCTTGAGAAGAACTGAATCAAGAAACTAACTGGATACAGAAATATTGTGTGGTTATTCATCTGACATATGAGATGTTTGGGAGGCCTGATCTGGTCTCTAAGAACATGAAGGTTCAGCCATTTGCAAACAGACTAAGTTGAGGAGCCGGAATAACTGTGCCTAGACTGTCACCATTCGGAACAGCTGTCACAGGTTCAGTAATATCGGGGGGATTGTCATCAGGTGGGGTTAGGCCTATGAAGACATCCTCAGGAGGGGACAAGTCTGGGTGGACAGAACTGGGAGGAGCCACATCTATGTCTGGGTGCAAAATATCTGGGTAGTGCCCATGGTCTTCTACATTGTTAACTGTTGAGTAGGTTACATCATGGACGGGGATCAAGTGACTGACTGGACCAGGTGTGATTACTTTGGGACAATCAGACACTGTGTGATACCTGAAGCCTGGTCAACTGAGCCATCATCCTCTGAATGGATGCCATCCTCCCAGTCTGCATCAGCATGTCAGCTGTATGGTCATCACTGTCCTCCATCACATCAGGACATAGAAAACTTCCAATTCTAACAGCATCACTGTCCGAGTGTACAGAAACACTGTTGTCATCACCTTCAAAGGGCGAGAAGCTAGCATAGAGTAGAAAATTCCTGTGGAAGACTCTTCCTTTACCAGTTTGGGTATCCTTGACTCTGAAAACATTGATTTCGGGCTTGAGTGATAAGACCTCATAATGGGTTTCCCTGACACACCTCTGTTGGCAATCAGTACTCTACTCTCCAATGACAAGAGGTGAGCCCCTGACTGTTGTACAGTTTGGTATGGCCAGTCTGTTCCCTGAGAGTGTTCATCTGCATAATCTGAGCAGCCTCATGTAGATTGTTCTTCAGGTGGGAAAAAAGGTCTGGGTAGTTAACAACAGCATGCTGTAAGGGCATGCTGAAAAACGGTATGCATTTATTTCAGACAATTTGACAAAAAAACATTCAATGAATAAACCAAAAGAGACTAGTTTACATCAACCAAACCAAACGCCAATTTCCAAACTTACTGAATTCACCTGAATTTAGACGGAAACTAAACCCTCCACTAAATAAACCAGTCGGTATATACAGCCAAAAAAATGACATCTTATCTGAAAAGGGGTATGAAAAAGTAAAGTCTATTATTCATACCCCAACTCCCTAACCTAACCCAAACTAACCTATTACCTGTCTATCAAAAGGTAGATGAAAGATCCTCCCAAACACAAGGTAAAATGGTGCTAACCATCATCTCTGTGCAGTTATAGCAGAGAGTGAGCAGCAGCAGCATTTGTGGCCAACTTACTTTGGGCTGAAGGGGGGAGATACCTGATCATAATCCCCAGAGTCCTGTTGAATTCCTCTGCAACACCATCCTCATGGGGTGATAAGGAGTTGTATGAAATTTCTGTTCTCCAGGCATCTCTAGAAGCTCCTTGATAGTTTGCTCTCAGAGTTGCCCCCTAGGTCTGAATAGGTACGGCAAGGAAGGCGAGTGCCATCTTGGAGAAATGATCAGACACGTCTAGAACATCTACCGACTTCTACCCTTGTTCAGCACACTGAAGTCTATGTGTGTCGACTGTTGACCAAAGCAGACTAACTCCATAGGTCCAGAGGTGACTATGTTCAGGAGTGGTGCACAACTGGGTGGCTCGCTATGCAACACTCACACAACCTTAGATAATTCATAATTGTTGTTTAATTAGAGTTGAATACTTTTTAACATGACGGGTTCTTTTCTCACCTTATACAGCAAGCCATTCTGTATGGTGAGCCTGGTCCAGTGCTTCAGCAGCTTAATCACACTTTGTGACTCAACAGCCCTTTCATGCTTGGTAGTTCTCCTGTGTCTCTGTACATCCCTCTGCTTATTATCAGCACCTTGCTAGCTAACCAGCTGGCTCTGTGGGATTGGGGGCTGGTTTCCACGCAGCAGAGGACTGGGTGCAACACCAATTCCCATCACATGACTCACGTCTCTGCTGGACTGGGCACTAAGAATGGCAACTTCCTCACCAGTGACTGCGTCCCTTTCTTCTAGTGAAACTATGTCTGATGGATCGGAGTCAGAACAAGATGTGAAAGGCTGCAGATCCAGATGGCATCAGCTGCAGCTTCTGAGATGTTGTGCAGATGAACTGGATGGCTTTAATGCATCCCTCTGATATTGGCTGCAGGACTTCCTCACAGAAAGGCCTCAGTCAGTCAGGGTCGGACCTCTGATGTCATCAGTCTAAGCCCCTCCCCTCAGGGCTGCGTCCTGAGCCCCCTGCCGTTCACCCTGATGACACACGACTGCGTCCCCAGGTTCACCACCGATCACATGGTGAAGTTTGCAGACGACACCACGGTGGTGGGCCTCATCAGAGACGACAACGACCTGGACTACAGAGAGGAGGTGGAGCAGCTGGTGGAGCAGAGATAACAGCCTGATCCTGAAGGTGGAGAAGACCAAGGAGATGATGGTGGACTTCAGGAAGAAGCGGCCTAACCACGCTCCACTGCTCATCAACAGCTCAGCTGTAGAGGTGGTCAGCAGCACCACATTCATCACAGACACCCTCACCTGGACTGGAAACACCACCTCACTGGTCCAAAGGGCCCAGAAGCGCTTGGACTTCCTGCCCCCCCATCCTCCCCACCTTCTCCAGAAGCACCATAGAGAGCGTTCTGAGCAGCTGTCTCACTGTGTGGAGAAGATAAAGTAGGAAAGGAGAGCATGGAGCTGGTGTAACAGGCTGCTGCGTGCGCAAAGCCATCTTGAAATCACACTAATGTTTAAATACAACTTCAGCAGTGGCAGCTGGCCAATAGAGGGTGCTAGGGCACCGCCCCATTCACCATATGACCTTGGTTAAGACATGAAAAAAAAACAAATATAAATAAAATTAATAAAATTAAAATTATAAATTTAAAATAGACTGAAATGTATTCACACATTTTAGATAGATAAATATTAAAGATAAATAGTTTATCTTTTGATGAGTAAAGCTGTTCCATTCACTATCATATTTGTGACGTATTTCCAGAAATCTTCCCCCAGTGCTTAAGATAAGAGCATCGTGGGGAGCAGCTCTTCTGCCCCCAGAGCATAAAGCAGCTTTATTAGCTCACCACCTCCCTCCACAGCGCTGACATCAAAGTCGTCTGTTAGAGAGTGTGGCTGATTGACCGAGTTATAGAATTATTTAGCTCCAAGGCAAGGCCAACTGCACGCAGCGAGGCTAACTGCACGCAGCGAGGCTAACTGCACGCAGCGAGGCTAACTGCACGCAGCGAGGCTAACTGCACGCAGCGAGGCTAACTGCACGCAGCGAGGCTAACTGCACGCAGCGAGGCTATCTGCACGCAGCGAGGCTAACTGCACGCAGCGAGGCTAACTGCACGCAGCGAGGCTATCTGCACGCAGCGAGGCTAACTGCACGCAGCGAGGCTAACTGCACGCAGCGAGGCTAACTGCACGCAGCGAGGCTAACTGCACGCAGCGAGGCTAACTGCACGCAGCGAGGCTAACTGCACGCAGCGAGGCTAACTGCACGCAGCGAGGCTGAGGCTTTATCCTGCTTTCCCTGCTTCCTTTTCAAACGTCAGGATCTGAGCCAGCATGGATAAAGAGGACTGATTTAAAGCACTTTGCAGAACATTTTAGAATTTAGTTTTTTATTATCATTCATATAAATATATTGGTGTGATACTTTAGTATACATTTGATTGGTTTTTGGTATTTGTCTATTTTGAAGTTATAGCGCCACCTGGAGGAAACTTCACCAGCCACCATGTGACTTCAGGGGTTGAATTTAAAGACTATTTAGTCTTCATCAGTAGAACCTCCTGACTCTAGATCTAGTCAATAGAAGCTTAGGCCTTTCAGCTGATTTCAGAGATAATGCTTGCTTTACTGATACAGATGTGATCACATAAATGAACTAAATACAACACAAAGTGAAAGAATTGCCTTAAAAACAATTTCCTGGGCATTGTTTATGTTTTAATGCTGAACCAACCTACAGTGATGCTAAGTAAATGCTGGAGAACACTATATGGATCTGTTGTTTTTTCCTCCTCCCTTCAATTCAATTCAATTCAATTCAGTTTATTTATATAGCGCCAAATTCACAACACATGTCATCTCAAGGCACTTTACAGTTCAACCAGATCATACAGTCAAATTGATACAAAGTTTTCTATCTAAGGAAAACCTGTTGATTGCATTGACTCATTGACTCAAATACAATCCCCCACACTAAGCATGCTTGTAGCTTGTACCTTCCTGCAGTCATTTTATTGTTGTTGTTCATGTTTTCATGATGGTTTTTGACATTAAAATATATATATTGAAAGTAATAAAATAATCCTTTTCTTTTCTTTCTATTCTTTTAATAGAATCTAGTTTTAACTTTTTCTGGAGGTTTATTTTGAAACTCAAACAGGAAATGCTGCTTTACCTAAAGGTGAACCACTTTACAGCCACATGATCAAAGTCTAACTGGCTTCTTTCTGCTGTCTGTGACTACAAGCAGTGCTGCGGGTAAGTAGATATAAACAGTTTATTGTGGCCTATCTGTCCAGCTGATACTAAGGCAACACCAAGCACCATGTGACCTAATACCTACAGGTAACATAGAAGGTCAAATCAGGTTTCTGCTGTGGTGCTAAGCTTTAGAGCAGTGAGAAATACCTCGCCAGAACAAAAAGTGGACCACTCAGTTATATTGATACTGGCTGCATTTAAGATTTCTGTATGTTATACACTATGGAAGGTGTAAGTTTGCAAAACTGTCAGCAGGCAACAGGAAGGGCACGGCAGGATTAAACAGGAAGTAGATCAGCATTGAATAGCATAATGGCCAATTAAATAATTGATTATGTAATTGTTCACATTGTTGTGCAGTAAATCTGGCTCTGATAGCTTTTCTGCTTCTTCAGTTTGTAAAAGTTTGCTTTGAGGTTGAAGTCTAGATTTGGCAGATGACACACCCTAAACCTTCTCTTTATCTGACATTCCACAGCATAAACATGAAAGAGCAACAGTAAAACACACATGGGAATGAGAGAGAAGAGCAAAGGGGGGTAAAGAAAAGTAGAAACTCTTTCATTTTATAATTTACATTTAATAGCCAACTATAAAAAATAAGCTTTACTCTTAATTTAAAGCAATTTAGGGTTTCCGATTTTCACATTTTTCTGGTTGAATTAAATTCAGTTTATTTTAGTGGTGGGCATATATTCTTTATTTCAATCTAGATTAATCTCAAAGCAATCTTGAAATTAATCTAGATTATAATGGCTCAATTCTGCTTAATGAATCAGAATCAGAATTACTTTATTAATACCTTGTTTGAAATTGTTTCCTTGCCAAGCACCCATTTACAGAAAAGAGAAAAATAAGATTGTGAGTAAATATAAGATATCAGAACAAAATAATATAAAGGTAAGAATAACATAATATGTGTGTGCTAACAAGATAATAAGTAAAAGTAAGCCTTTAAACAGGTTTGTCCTAGAGTCTGGTCTCCGTTAGACCAGGGGCTAATCTCCTGTTTCCAAAATGCACCACATGCAGAGTGGTAGTTAAACAGACCTCTCTGCAGCTTCTCTACTGTTGCTCCATCCAAAAAGTGCAAAAGCATAGTGTATTCCCCTTCACAGGTTGATGATTTTGTTGATGGGGTTGCTAGTTCTCTGCGTACTGCCTTAGACAACGCAGCTGCTTTGAAAATGAAAACCGTTAAAAATAGAAAGCTGGCTCCTTGGTTTAATGCAGAGCTGCGTACTTTGAAGCAAAATGCTAGGAAACTGGAGAGAAAATATCGCTCCACAGGCCTACGGGAGTCCTTCCTAGTCTGGAAAAATGGTTTACTGCTGTATAAGAGGACCCTTTGTAAAGCAAGAGCAGCATACTTCTCCTCATTAATAGAGGAGAATAAGAATGATCCTAGATTTCTTTTTAATACAGTTGCCAAACTCACCCAGAGCCATAGCTCTGTTGAACCGTCCATTCCACCTACTCTTAGCAGCAATGATTTTATGGGATTCTTTATAAATAAGATTGATCTTATTAAAAATAAGATCATAAGCACTCCTCTATCCGCGATTGTACCTGAGGTAGTCATGGAATCTGAACCGGGTTTTGACTGCTTTGAACTGGGTTTGATCCTGCTTTGATTGTCTTCATCTAAGCCTTCAACTTGTATGTTAGATCCAGTTCCAACCAGGTTATTTAAGGAGGTATTCCCTTTGATCTCCTCCTCCATTTTAGATGTGATTAATCTATCTCTGTTACAGGGATATGAACCTAAAGCTTTTAAGGCTTTTAAGGTTAACCAAGTCATCTGGGTCTCTTGACCCAGATAACTTGGTTAATTATAGACCTATATCCAATCTTCCTTTCTTATCTAAAATTCTTGAGAAAGTAGTTGCCAAACTAGGCAGGGAGGTACAGTAAACTGTTCATCTGGCACCAACCCCTTAGCTGGCAGCCTTACAAAAAAAATGCTTGCTTGCAAGCTATAAGGGGGAGTGGCAGCCTAGTGGTTAGGGGATAGGGCTTTGAATCCTGAGGTTGTAAGTTTGAACCCTCACTGCCACTCTGGCTCCCTGAGCAAGACCCTTAACCCCACACTGCTCCCCAGGCGCCACACAATGGTAGCCCACTGCTCCCCAAGGAGATGGGTTAAATGCAGAGAAGTAATGACCATCTGGGATTATTAGAGTACATAAAGAAAATGAAGCATAATGAACTTTTTGAAGAGTTTCAGTCTGGCTTTAGAGCTCATCATAGCACTGAAACAGCTCTGGTGAAAGTCACTAATGATATTCTCATGGCCTCAGATAATGGACTTGTATCTGTGCTCGTCCTGTTGGATCTCAGTGCTGCATTTGATACAGTTGACCATAATATTCTTTTAGAAAGACTTGAATATTTTGTTGGAATTAAAGGAACAGCTCTAGACTGGTTTAAATCTGATCTATCTGATCGAATTCAGTTTGTTCATGTTAATGATAGATCTTCAACACGCTCAAAGGTTACCTGTGGAGTACCACAGGGATCAGTGCTAGGACCAATTCTCTTTACTTTATACATGCTCCCAATTGGTAGAGTTATTAGACAGCATGGGATTAATTTCCACTGTTATGCTGATGATACGCAGCTATATCTGTCTATAATCCAGATGAAGCTAACCCATTACATAGATTACAGGCATGTCTTGAAGACATAAAAACCTGGATGACTCTTAACTTTCTGCTTCTGAATGCAGACAAAACAGAAGTTATAGTCTTTGGACCAGAGTCTCTGAAAAAGAAGCTGATTAGTCAGTCACTTCATTTGGATGGGATTAAACTGATTTCAGATAATAAAGTAAAAAATCTTGGTGTTATTTTTGATCAGGACCTGTCATTTAAATCCCAGATCAAAGAGGTTTCTAGAATTTCCTTCTTTCATCTGAGGAATATTGCAAAAATGAGCAATCTCCTGTCCAGGGGTGATGCTGAGAAACTAGTCCATGCATTTGTTACTTCAAGGCTGGACTATTGTAATTCTTTACTATCAGGAAGTCCACAAACTGTAGTTAAAAGCCTTCAGCTGATCCAAAATGCTGCAGCCAGAGTTCTAATGAAAATGAAAAAGAGAGATCATATCTCTCCTATCCTGGCTTCTCTTCATTGGCTTCCTGTTAAATCCAGAATAGAATTTAAAATCCTCCTTCTCACATATAAAGCCTTAAATGGCCAAGCTCCATCTGATATCAGAGATCTGATTGTTCCTTATGTTCCTAACAGAGCACTTCGCTCTCAATCGGCAGGTTTACTAGTGGTTCCTAGAATTTCTAAAAGTAGAATGGGAGGCAGATCTTTTAGTTATCAGGCTCCTCTCCTGTGGAACCAACTACCAGTTTTAGTCCGTGAGGCAGACACCCTGTCTACTTTTAAGGCTAGGCTTAAAACTTTCCTTTTTGATAAAGCTTCTAGTTAGAGTGGCTCAGGTTATCCTGATCTATCTCTATAGTTACGCTGCTATAGGCTTAGACTGCTGGAGGACATAGGGACCCCTTTTTTATCATTCTGCTTCATTCTATCTCTATTCTCCCACTCTGCAGAATCTGTTAGTTCAATCTCTAACGTTCTGCTCTCTCTGCTTTTTCTCATAGTAGCTTCATCTGGTCTGTTCCTGTTTGGCTGTGACTCCATCCTGGAGAGAAATATCAGCTGTGCTGATGTCATCAACACCTTTGTTTCTAGATGTTGGAGCTTGGCCTGTTTTCCAGTGTAGTCCTGTTTCTCTGACCGTGACTAACTGGATGTGCTCTCTTCATCCTCTGACATGGTAGCTGGCTGTCCTGTCATTTACTGGATGTTACTGACCAGCAGAAGGGTAGTGGCAGTGGAGTAGCAGTCAAGCATGATATTCTGAAGGAAAATCCTCATCAAACATCCCCTTCATCAGCACTGGGTCCAGATGTCCCCCTGCAAAAAAGCTGTTGTCGCTCTGTCTGAGCACACACTGTGTGACTTTTAGTCTGATTTTCCTTGAGAAACTCTCTGATTGTCTCATATTATACTGTCAGCACCTAACAAGATTTTGAAAAAGATGCTTGAATGAGAATCCTTTTTAACAAAGATTCCTTCCTTTAAAAACACACACAACACCTTCTTTCATATCTTCCCCAGTTTTCTATTGGATACCATGAGGGCTGTTTTGACGCCTTGCCCTTATATCCTGCTGCTATTACTCTTGATGGGGGAATCGGTGCTTCTACAAGCAAACATCAAGCCCAGTTTAATCTTGATGATGCTGGATGATCTTGGAATTGGAGACCTAGGCTGTTATGGCAACACAACCCTAAGGTAAAAGTATTTTCATTAAGTAGATGTATGTTCATGCCTGAGCTCTACAGTCTAATCTTAAACCTCTCCTTTCAAAATGTTTTCTCATGAGATTTCAGTTATAAATTATGATGAGGATTAGGGTTAAGGCTAAGATCCAATAGTCAATAGGCAAGACCATGGTTGCTATCATGCGCCATGAAAGTTCTACTCTATAACAAGGATATTTCCAGAAAGCATCCTAATCAGGATTTTATCCAGGTTTAAAGCAGGCTTACTGTGAACATGTCATGCATTATTGTTAATGTGAAAACAAGTATATAACCTGGAGGTTAGGGTTATCACTGTGTACCACCGCTTGGAGCACAAAGGGGCAGGTTGACCTAGTACACCTTTGTACATCTGGGATAACACATGGCATAACCACAGAGTAGCCATACACTCTAGAAAGAAGTCCATTGCCTGCGATTCAGATTGAATTACTTGCAAATCTAAGAGTGATGAATTTGACTTGCCATTATTCAGCCATTATTCATTAATTTTATGTGATTTACAGGACCACAAACATTGATCGTTTGGCAGGGGAAGGAGTGAAGTTGAATCATCACATTGCTGCTGCAAGCCTCTGTACTCCAAGTCGAGCAGCATTCCTCACGGGACGATACCCAATAAGATCAGGCTAGTTCCCCATTGAAACACCTGAAGTCATTACTGAAGCATGTGACATCAAGTAATCATTTTGTCTTAAAAGTAAGATATTGGAGTATAAAGTTGAAAGTATTAATATAGAAAACTTATTAAAACAAATGTTTTGATGAGTTCCAACAACGAGTCAAAATTCCCACTTCAGGGGATGATCAGAGTTTTTCCAAGACTGATAACTTTTAAGGTTGAGACAGAGACAAGGCCAAGGCCTTTAGAGGTCGAGAGCTGCTCTCAAACCTGCTCTGAATGCATCTTTAATGTTAGAGTGTTTTGTCCCTGAGTTGCAAAGTCCACATGTTGGTAGAAATGAGGGAGAACAGTCTTCAAGTATGCCCGGTTAAATCCCCAGCAATGATGAAAACATTCTCTGTGTGCAAATTGGAGCTCAGAGATCCTGAGCCTGGTATAGAGTCTTCATGGCCTCTTTTGTATTAGCACTGGAAGGCACATAAACAGCAGTGATGCTAACCACACTGAACTATCTGGTCTGCAGTTAACAGTCAGAAACTCAATGTCTAGAGAGCAGAAGCTGGCAACCGATCTAGCATTTTTATACCAGCAGTTGTTAATGTAAACACAAACCACCCTACTCTAGTGTTACCACTGAGTTTACTGTTCATATTGGCGTGGTACAGCGTTAGCCCCTCCAGGCTAAAACTATTGTCCGTTATCAGTGAATGAAGCCAAGACTCAGTCAGGATAATGGCGCAGAAGTTACTAAAATCCTTTTTTGAAGAGAGTTCGAGTCAGAGATTTTCCATTTTTTATCCAGTGAGCCAATGTTGGAGAGCGAATGATCGAGAGCGATACAAGGCCCAGACCTTTAGAGATCCAGACTGAGACAAGGCCAAGACCTTTAGAGATTGAGACCGAGACAAGGCCAAGACCGAGACAAGGTCAAGGCCTTTAGAGATTGAGACTGAGCCAAGGCCAGGACCTTTCGAGTTTGAGAGCGAGACAAGACCAAGACCTTTGGAGTTTGAGACCGAGACAAGGCCAAGACCTTCTGTGGTCAAGACCGAGAAAAGGTCAAGGCCTTTAGAGATTGAGACCAAGCCAAGGCAAGGACCTTTCGAATTTGAGACCGAGACAAGACCAAGACCTTTGGAGTGTGAGACCGAGACAAGACCAAGACCTTAGGAGTTTGAGACCGAGACAAGGCCAAGACCTTTAAAGGTCGAGACCGAGGCAAGGCCAAGACCTCTAGAGGTCGAGACAGAGACAAGGTCAAGACCTTTAGAGGTCGAGACCGAGGCAAGGCCAAGACCTCTAGAGGTCGAGACAGAGACAAGGCCAAGACCTCTAGAGGTCAAGACAGAGACAAGGTCAAGACCTTTAGAGGTCGAGACCGAGGCAAGGCCAAGACCTTTTGGGGTGGAGCTCGAAACAAGGCCAAGATGTAACTCTTTTAGTTTCTATGTACATGTACATTTTATTAGTGCTTTATAAATATATAATAATGATAGTCATCATGAATTTTATTAATTTCAATAAATTTTCCCGCTGTAGCATCTATTCACAGCATGGCATGTCACGCACTCACATAGACAATCTAATCATGTCATACATTCAGATCGGTTCAAATAAAAAGAAAACCAGCTGTCTGCATCATGTCATTGCAGCAGTCATTGACTTTGCAGTATGTTCTTCCTGGTGAGCATAGAAATTTCATTGTGTTGTTGACACTGCAGCAAAAACTCACCCTGAGGATTCTGACGGTGGACTGTTAGTTGGTTCCACAGGAGAGGAGCCTGATGAATAAAAGATCTGCCTCCCATTCTACTTTTAGAAATTCTAGGAACCACTAGTAAACCTGCAGATTAAGAGTTTCAAAGTTCTCATTTAGGAACATAAGGAACAATCAGATCTGTTATATCAGACGGAGCTTTGTTATTTAAGGATCTGTATGTAGAAACAACATTATACTATATTTTAAATCAATGCAAATGGATCATAACCAATTAGGTCAATAGGTTAGTTCTCAGAAGATAGATACGACTCATGAAACAGCAGACAGAGACTAGAAGTTTGCAGTTGTGCGTGCCTTGTATTTATAGTGAGGAAAATTATATACATATTCACAACATCAGTAAAACATCCATCTGGCCATATATAATCCGCAAAAGAAAAAAAAGAAACACTAAAGAGGAAAAAAAAAACAAAATTAATCAATTCCACAATCAGTGAAACCACATCCCTTCAGTTCATTCACCCCAACTTGGGGTTGATTAAAAGTCCAAAGCAAGTTATTTTTAAAGTGCTTGGTGCAGTGCAGGTCATGGACTGACAAACGTCAGAGCAGAGTGGAAACAAAATTGTTTGTTAGCTACAAGGAGCCTCCTAACAGCCTGGCAGGCGATCCAAAGTTTTCACACACCCAAAAGTGCAATCTTTCTTGGGCTCTAGGCCTGGACCTTCAGCTCGCCATCATGACCTGGCCTGAGTTATAAAACAGGACCATTTTCTCAATATGTACAATCAAAACATTCTAGTGTGCACACAAATTTAGTAAGTGGCTCTCTTTGCACTACAGATAATTCCACACAATAATTTTCAGTCAGTATGCATATTCAAAAAATCTAAATTTCCATATAAATTACATCCATGAAAAATCCAATAAATATGCACTATATAAATTAGTTAACATGAAATGAAAAAAGGAAACAAAAACAACTAGTACAAACAAGTGTTCAATAAATGTCTAAGGCACCTCATTGTTTACATATGAGTTTTTCAAAGCTAGTCTGGGCATCTGTTTGTATAGTCACAATTTAGCAGCTACAAGCAAAGACATCAATGAGTCAACATTAAAGGAATAGTACACCCAAAACATGATTAGCCTTCATTTTCTACTCACCCCCATGCTGAACAACACTCTGGAGTACTTTTTTGATATCTCAAATGCATCTGGAGATCTGGGAGGCTTCTTGCTGTCTGCTGACATTCAAATAATGGAGGTCTATGGCGCCCGAGACAGAAAGGTCCATAAAAGTCCACAAAAAACGTGTCAATATTCCTCCATACTGCTCGTCCAATGTATTCCAAGTGTCCTGAGTGGGTAGCGTCCAGAATTTACTCGAAACAAAGTCATTTGGAATGTTTTTAGAGCATAAACAGTAGTGTATAGGATTTCCTGAAAGCGCGTTCACGAGTCTACGGAAACCGCGGCAGACCAAACCAGATGAAAGTGCGCATTCAGCGTCTGCTCTGCCAATAATGCAAGCGTAGAAGAAGAAATGTGCTGTTTACCTGTGCAAAGAAAGAAACAACAAAAGAAAAATATCTGAGGACTTCAGTGTTGAGGAAGAGCATGAGTTCTTTGCTGAGCTGAATGCGCACTTTCATCTGGTTTGGTCTGCCGCGGTTTCCGTAGCATCATGAACTCGCCGGCGCGCACTTTCAGGAAATCCTATACACTACTGTTTATGCTCTAAAAACATTCTAAATGACTTTTTTTCGAGTAAATTCTGGACGCTACCCACTCAGGACACTTGGAATACATTGGACGAGCAGTATGGAGGAATATTGACACGTTTTTTGTGGACTTTTATGGACCTTTCTGCCTCAGGCGCCATAGACCTCCATTATTTGAATGTCAGCAGACAGCAAGAAGCCTCCCAGATCTCCAGATGCATTTGAGATATCAAAAAAAGTTGAGTTCATTCAGTTAGTCTCTGAGCAGGGAAAGAAGAGACAGTGATATCCAAGTGAGACCAAGCTGCTATTGAAACATCATCCAGAATAGGAACCGGATAAAATATTTAGAATGGAAGTTCAGCAACGTGTTGAAAGTCTTCTAATGGTCAGACATGCATTCAGTTAGCTTCCTGTAGCCGCTTGGCTTTGTTGTTACGCTAAATGTGGAATATTTGCATCTGTCTGACTTCAGCAATTTAAATGCATCTATATTTAAAGGAGGTTTAGCATAATGTTGTTGAGTGTTGGTTGATGGAGAGGCAGGCGGGAGAAATGACAATGAATCTAGAACAATCTGAGAAATAGAGCAGCGCAGACAGAAGGAGGGCAGGATAGCTGAGGGAGGAAGATGACCTAAAAGCTCTTCACCAAGGGAAGATAAACAGAAAAATCAATCAAATGAAACATAAAAGGGGAAGATAAGAATGAACAAAGGTGTTATACAGAAAGTATTTGCTAATATGGCAAGACGTTAACAGAAATAAACCAAAACCCAAACACTGGAGCTTATGACAGTAGCTTTGGTTTGATGGAGTTGGTTTACAGCTCACTGCATCCAAACACAAACTCATTTATGTTTGAAATAAAATAAGGAATTCCATTTTCTATCCATTCTCCTCCTCCATCAGGTATAGTTGGTGATTCCAGACCAGGTGTCTTTCTGTTCAACGCAGCGTCTGGAGGTCTACCTGCTCAAGAAGTGACCTTTGCTAAGATTGCCAAACAACAAGGATATGAGACTGCTCTTATAGGTATGCATTAGCCACCTCCTAGGCTTATGAGAGTAACAGAGGATTCATATTCCAGTGCCATTTCTTAATTGTGGAGGTACTAATATAACCGTTAACTACAGCATTAACAAAAAGTTCAGATTAAAGCAAACCTGAAGAAAGTTTTTATATCATTCTCTTCTCTTTCTCAGGAAAATGGCACCTTGGACTTAACTGTAAGAGCAGTGATGATCACTGCCACCACCCTAGTGTCCATGGCTTTAATTACTTCTTTGGGATCCCACTAACCAACATGAGAGACTGCCAAGCTGGGCATGGCACTGTTTTCCAAATCCAGAGATATTTACCATATGGGACCATGGCAATAGTTGTGATTAGTGCAGTTGTTCTCCACTGCAGCGGCCTAATCTTTCTGCGCAGAGGGCTTATCCTGGGCCTGCTGTCAGTGCTGGGCGTGGCCACTCTACTGACGGCGGGATTTATCTGCATCATTCCATACTTGAATTGCATTCTCCTCAGAGATCACAGCATTGTGGAGCAGCCGTTCACTCCTGAAAACCTGACGCAGAAAATGACCCTTGAAGCAGTGGAATTCATCGAGCGGTGCGTCACTTTAGCCCACCTTCTGGGGGAGGGGGGGGTAACAATTATTAACAATGCATGTAAACTGTTTATTATACAATACAACAAAATATAAATATAACAATTAACTACAGATACTTGCATTAGCTCAGGTATTTCATTTGATACCTAAAACGAAGCAGACATCAATGATTTAAAATTGTCATGATGGGTTCACTAAAAGCGACCCAAGAATGCAGAACACCACTGACGGACACAGGGATGAAAGTTTAACAGTTTATTTAAGCACAAGCACACAGAATGTACTGGTTCTGGTTCGGGGCCTGGATACTGGTTCACCGGAGTCTGCGTGAGAGACAGTTCAGTTAGCGTTGCCAACAGGGGTTTGGTTTCTTGAAGTTTACTGATTGTACCTTGAGGGTTCTTGAGGTTAGCTTTGGGAGAGTCTCTGTTGGTGCTGGAGAAGAGTTCATCAGCAGAGTCCGTTTGCTGCTTCAGCGTCTCACGTCTTATTAGAACAGACCTTGGCTTAGGGTTTCCCAGCTCTGGTCCAGAGCTGCTTGGAGGTTCTCTGTGATTCTTCAGGTTTGGCTCAGAGGGTCGGCTCGGCAGGTTAGCTCTTCCTGAGCTTTCACAGAGGAGGCACAGGTTTCCTGGAAAACAGAAACACGGGTTAGAATCCAAGCTGGAATCAAAAGTCATTGAGTTACTCTGAGGATCTAGGCTTAATTCAATTCAATTCAATTCAATTCAATTCAGTTTATTTATATAGCGCCAAATTCACAACACATGTCATCTCAAGGCACTTTACAGTTCAACCAGATCATACAGTCAAATTGATACAAAGTTTTCTATCTAAGGAAAACCAGTTGATTGCATTGACTCATTGACTCAAATACAATCCCCCACACTAAGCATGCTTGTAGCGACAGTGGAGAGGAAAAACTCCCTTTTAACAGGAAGAAACCTCCAGCAGAACCAGGCTCAGTGTGAGCGGCCATCTGCCGAGGCCGACTGGGGTTCAAGGAGACAGAAGCAGAGATACAAAAAGCAGCTGTAAAAGGCGGCCCCGTCCAGGAAACACACAGCCAGGCAGACGAGCTCCAAGGCAGCTCCCATGCCAGAGGACGAAGAGAGCACATCCACTCAGTCACGGTCAGAGAAACAGGACCACACTGGAAAACAGGCCGATCTCCAACATCTATTAACAAGGGTGTTGATAGAAGCAGCACAGCTGATGTTTTTTTCCAGGATGACGTCACAGCCAAACAGGAACAGACGAGGCAAAGCTACTCTGAGGAAAAGCAGAGAGAGCAGAAGGTTAGAGATTGAACTAACAGATTCTGCAGAATAGGAGAACAGAGAGAGAATGAAGCAGAATGATGAAATGGGGGTCCCTATGTCCTCCAAAAGTCTAAGCCTATAGCAGCAGAACTATAGAGATAGCTCAGGATAACCTGAGCCACCCTAACTATAAGCTTTATCAAAAATGAAAGTTTTTAAGCCTAGCCTTAAAAGTAGACAGGGTGTCTGCCTCACGGACTAAAACTGGTAGTTGGTTCCACAGGAGAGGAGCCTGATAACTAAAAGATCTGCCTCCCATTCTACTTTTAGAAATTCTAGGAACCACTAGTAAACCTGCAGATTGAGAGCGAAGTGCTCTGTTAGGAACATAAGGAACAATCAGATCTCTGATATAAGATGGAGCTTGGCCATTTAAGGCTTTATATGTGAGAAGGAGGATTTTAAATTCTATTCTTGATTTAACAGGAAGCCAATGAAGAGAAGCCAGGATAGGAGAGATATGATCTCTCTTTTTCATTTTCATTAGAACTCTGGCTGCAGCATTTTGGATCAGCTGAAGGCTTTTAACTACAGTTTGTGGACTTCCTGATAGTAAAGAATTACAATAGTCCAGCCTTGAAGTAACAAATGCATGGACTAGTTTCTCAGCATCACCCCTGGACAGGATATTTCTAATTTTTGCAATGTTCCTCAGATGAAAGAAGGAAATTCTAGAAACCTCTTTGATATGGGATTTAAATGACAGGTCCTGATCAAAAATAACACCAAGATTTTTTACTTTATTATCTGAAATCAGTTTAATCCCGTCCAAATGAAGTGACTGGCTAATCAGTTTCTTTTTCAGAGACTCTGGTCCAAAGACTATAACTTCTGTTTTGTCTGCATTCAGAAGCAGAAAGTTAAGAGTCATCCAGGTTTTTGTGTCTTCAAGACATGCCTGTAATCTATGTAATGGGTTAGCTTCATCTGGATTTATAGACAGATATAGCTGGGTATCATCAGCATAACAGTGGAAATTAATCCCATGCTGTCTAATAATTCTACCAATTGGGAGCATGTATAAAGTAAAGAGAATTGGTCCTAGCACTGATCCCTGTGGTACTCCACAGGTAACCTTTGAGCGTGTTGAAGATCTATCATTAACATGAACAAACTGAATTCGATCAGATAGATAAGATTTAAACCAGTCTAGTGCTGTTCCTTTAATTCCAACAAAATATTCAAGTCTTTCTAAAAGAATATTATGGTCAACTGTATCAAATGCAGCACTAAGATCCAACAGGACGAGCACAGATACAAGTCCATTATCTGAGGCCATGAGAATATCATTAGTGACTTTCACCAGAGCTGTTTCAGTGCTATGAGTTGGTCAGCTTAAGCGCTGACCAACTGGAACAACACTGCGGCGTTGAGGCAAGGTCTGAAGAAAGCTTAAGTAGTGGATCCTCTGATGATCTTGATGAGCTGCAGCTGTGCAGGAGGCTCCCACAGACGATCCACGGCGGACTCTGCTGGAGAAAGGTGGAATTTCTCCAGCTCCCAACAAAAATGACTGACAATTATTCAGTTTCACCAGATTTTAACATGAACTGAAAATAACTGACTAAAAATAGATAAACATAGTCATTCATAACAGATATGGATAAAGAATCCAAGTGCGACTTGTTTTGAATGTTTTCAGTAGTAACCGTCAAAGTGTGGTTAATTATGTTGCAGATCTATACATTATAAAGGAAAAAGCAAACTTGCATCAGTGCTGAGGAACAACATTTATTTAACTTTTACTTAACATTTTTGATTGGGAGAAAAAGGCTATTTTTGAATAAGAAATAGCAAAGAGTGTGAATTATGCATTTTTAACCACTCCATGATAAAAACCTAAAAACATCTAAAGCCAGAACTGGATCTGATTTGGCTTCTTCTAATCCTCAGATTATGTAGCAGTTATTAGCATAGCTTGGCTAACACTCCAATTCACCTTCATTTCAATTCAGTGTAAACAATTTATATTAGTGCTGTCAAAATTATCGCGTTATTAACGCGTTAACGCGAGGCCATTTTAACGGCGATAATTTTTTTAACGTGAGATTAACGCTATGTGGTTTTATGGTACAATTTTCCAAGTACATCCCGCTGCAGCCTGCGGGAAGGCGGGGCTATTTTCCCCCAGTCTATGCATTTCTCATAGGCTTTGAGAGCAGAGCTCCTCAAGGAAAAAGACGCTCATACACTGGGTGGCGCTAGTGCCTTTTCTTTAAGCCCCACCACCAACAAACAAGTTGAGTGTCTGGTAACTAGTAGCAACCTGAAATACGCTGAGAAAACAGATTACTGAGGTGAAATGGAATCTGCTACGGCACTCTTGCTGTCTGTGTACGCAACAGGTCGGTATAGCGTGTGTGTGGGTGGGTGGGTGTGTGTGTGTTCTCATTTTTGTTAAGAGGCTGAAAAGTAACTTTCTAGAGCATAGACTACCTCCATCTAGTGATGTCGGTCTATTGATTTTGATGTATTGATTGAAAATAGTTCATTATTATCTTGGTTAATTAACATCTAATGTTAACTGTACTACATTTTATAGCAGTAGGGTAAAATGCTTGTCTTTGTTCAAAAGACTGTATTAACTGTAAAGACTGTCTTTTACATCAGCCTGTTTTCAGGGCCTTTTTTTGGCTACATATTTGTTATTTTTTGCTACATGCCTCCCCATCTTCTTGCCATATGTTTCTATGGCATAAATCAGTGTCTGTGACCTGTTTTCATTTTAAAAAAAGAACATTGGCACAAACCTAGCCTGTATGTATTTTTTTGTATGTCATCGAGAGTATTTAAATGATTTTCAATCAGGAAAAAAATGTGCGATAAAAATGCGATTAATCGCGACTTAACTCAGGCATTGATGCGATTAATCGCGATTAAAAAATTTAATCGATTGACAGCACTAATTTATATTAAACCTTTTGGTAAAAAAACAAGATTATTTTAAAGGTATTGTGGAGGATTTTCAAAACATTTTTAAAAGACCTGCCCTCTCCATATAAAAAAAATGCTTGTGCGAGAGCGTGCATGAGCCCATTTCTCCTTGTGCATGCTCTGTTGCTCTGTTTAAAGGTTTCTGTTCTTATAGCAGCTCACTGTGTCTGACCGTCCACCCTAACCCCTAATTCCCTCCATCACTATATAGAGCAGGGAACTATATAGTGAACTCTATAGTGAACTCAGTTAACTGACCGTTCAGGCAGATGATCACTGCTTTTTGCTCCGTTGGTCATGTAACTCCTTCACCGCGCGCTGCCTGCACCATCTTTGTTATGAATCTCCCTGTAGCTTGAGAAAGTTGATCATTTCTCTTCACAGGAACTCAGGAAAGCCTTTCCTCTTGTTTCTGTCTTACCTCCAAGTACACACGGCCCTCTTTGCCTCTGCAGCCTTTAGAGGAACCAGCAGTCACGGCATCTATGGAGACGCCGTTCAGGAAGTGGACTGGAGTGTTGGTGAGTCAGAGTGGCTGAATAACATCCACCTGTGGTTGTTGGTTAGCTTTACTTATATGGAAACACTCATTTAATGGAGTCCTAAAAGAGATGCGGTTCACAATAGAATCCTAAATAAAAGGATAACTAAAGATTTAATCATTAGAGTACGGACTAAGCTGAGGCATTGCTCCTTTATTTGAAAATCAGCTCATCAAAGTCATGATTCTAGCACAGTATGGTCAGATTTCTTTATTAGGTTGAATGCTTTACAGAAGATGTCCTTTAAATGATGTGATTTCACTTTCCTGTATTGCTGTGGTTTAATAGTCATTTCTTGTTTCCCCTTTTATAAAAAACTACGTTTTTGTGAAACAACTGTGTTTATGCTCTTCAGTTGGTCGATCATTCAATGGTTCTGATTGGTTTGTTTCAGGCCAGATCCTGCAGACGCTGGACCGGCTCAGACTTAGAGAAAACACTCTGCTTTATCTGACTTCAGACCAGGGGGCTCATCTGGAGGAAGTGTCTGCTGCAGGCGAGGTGCACCGAGGATATAATGGAATATATAAAGGTACGTCACAGAGACCACTAAAGGCATTAAAGCCTATAGGGTCATTTCCACTGCAGACTCAGAACGGATTGAGACATTTATGTACCTTTTTGTTGTGAGGCAGGGCAAGGAGACTTTATTTATATATCTGATTCTCTGTGTGTCTCCTTGAACCCCAGTGGGCCTCAGCAGATGGCCGCTCACACTGAGCCTGGTTCTGTTGGAGGTTTCTTCCTGTTCAAAGGGAGTTTTTCCTCTCCACTGTCGCTACAAGCATGCTTAGTGTGAGGGATTGCTGAAGAGTCAATGAGTCGATGCAATCAGCCGGTTTTCCTTAGATAGAAAACTTTGAATCAATCTGACTGGATGATCTGGTTGAATAATAAAGTGCCTTGAGATGATGTGTTGTGAAATGGAGCTATATAAATAAACTGAATAGAATTGGAAGGGGGGTGAGGGGTCATTGATGATGTCACGGGCTGGCGACACACAGCGCTGGGATGAAATGTCTTTAATGGAGGGAAGAGGAGCCCCCATGATCCTCTCTGCTGTTCTCACCTTCTTCCAGTCTGAGGCGCTGCAGCCTCCACAGCACACAGTGAGACAGCTGCTCAGAACGCTCTCTATGGTGCTTCTGGAGAAGGTGGGTAGGATGGGGGGGGCAGGAACATTTTCTATGTACACCTACCACTAACCCATCCCTTCCCCTAATGCTAACCTCTAAACCCAAAGAATCACTAGTATGCGTGTTACCATACACTCCTAAAGCTTTGTCGGTTGAAATAAAACGGTTATTGTTGCAGATCAGGTCCATGTCACGTACTACAATGTCTGCAACCTCTCATTTACCCTGAGTGTCGATACAAGAGGGGGGTGGTGGGAAAAGATCTATCTCCTATTAATTCCCTTTTCCATGTATTTAAGTAGGTATATGTATACAGATTAATGAGTTTATTCATTCAGCCTCAGAGTTCCACTACATGTCTGAGTGAGGAGTGTTTGGATTCAAGGAATACTATTCCCACCATAAGCCAGATTCTTTCTCAGCTTCATTTCATATCATGTTATTCATCATATTTAACAAAAGTGTCTGTAATTTGTTTAGACTCTGACTACTTTAAGGGAGACAAACGCTGCCCAGATCAGAGCAGGGCTGATTACCATGCAATGAGGGCTGTATGATGACTGTTCTCTCTTTGAAAGATCAAATAAAGTGCAAACTGAGTGAACTTCACTGATCTCCGTTTATTTAACTGGAGCAAATGGTTGAATACTTTCTTCCAACCAAAGGGGTCAGTGCATGAGGGGCCAGGGGCTTTGACCAAGCATCAATAATTGATGAGCTGGGAGTGAGAATGTGAGGCGACTGGCTCCCGTATACTGATGCTAAAACCATCGGATGTTTTTCTTCCCAGAAATGTAACGCAGAAACTTTCTTCTTGTCTGATCTGACAGTAATGTTTTTTCAAACAAATCAGCTGTAAAAACAGGTTCTCGTTACCGTGGTAACCAGCCAAGCACCGCTTAGGGAGCAGAAAAGCCTCATTAGGACTTTTTGTTCTGTGTTTGAGCAGCAGGGAAGTCCACTAACTGGGAAGGAGGCATCAGAGTTCCTGGGATTCTCAGCTGGTTGGGAACAATTCCCAGTGGCAGAGAGATAGATGAGCCCACCAGCAACATGGATCTGTTTCCCACTGTGGTTCATCTGAGTGGAGGCGTAGTTCCACAGGACAGGTTAGTCTACTGCTCAAAACCCGCTTCCAGGTTGAGCTTTGGATGCTGCAGATTCCCCACTGGCTGCTCTGGTTTCCAGGAAAATTGACGGACACAACCTCATGGATTTGCTGCAGGGCAAAGCTGAAAGGTCCAACCATGAATTTCTGTTCCACTACTGTAACTCCTACCTGAATGCTGTGAGATGGCATCCCAACAACAGTGAGTCCACTCAGATTAGGATTAGGGTTAGAATACACAGAATACACACACTAGATCTGGGAAGGACTGCATAGATATAGATGGAACAGAACTGGGAATGACTGCATAGATATAGATGGAACAGATCTGGGAATGACTGCATAGATATAGATGGAACAGAACTGGAAATGACTGCATAGATATAGATGGAACAGAACTGGAAATGACTGCATAGATATAGATGGAACAGAGCTGGGAATGACTGCATAGATATAGATGGAACAGAACTGGAAATGACTGCATAGATATAGATGGAACAGAACTGGGAAGGACTGCAGAGATATAGATGGAACAGAACAGGGAATGACTGCATAGATATAGATGGAACAGATCTGGGAATGACTGCATAGATATAGATGGAACAGATCTGGGAATGACTGCATAGATATAGATGGAACAGATCTGGGAATGACTGCATAGATATAGATGGAACAGAACTGGGAATGACTGCATAGATATAGATGGAACAGAGCTGGGAATGACTGCATAGATATAGATGGAACAGAACTGGAAATTACTGCATAGATATAGATGGAACAGAACTGGGAAGGACTGCAGAGATATAGATGGAACAGAACTGGGAAGGACTGCAGAGATATAGATGGAACAGAACTGGGAATGACTGCATAGATATAGATGGAACAGAACTGGGAAGGACTGCAGAGATATAGATGGAACAGAACTGGGAATGACTGCATAGATATAGATGGAACAGAACTGGGAATGACTGCATAAATATAGATGGAACAGAACTGGGAATGATTCCATAGATATAGATGGAACAGAACTGGGAATGACTGCATAGATATAGATGGAACAGAACTGGGAATGACTGCAGAGATATAGATGGAACAGAACTGGGAATGACTGCAGAGATATAGATGGAATAGAACTGGGAATGATTCCATAGATATAGATGGAACAGAACCGGGAATGACTGCATAGATATAGATGGAACAGAACCGGGAAGGACTGCATAGATATAGATGGAACAGAACCGGGAATGACTGCATAGATATAGATGGAACAGAACTGGGAAGGACTGCATAGATATAGATGGAACAGAACTGGGAATGACTGCATAGATATAGATGGAACAGATCTGGGAATGCCTGCATGGATATAGATGGAACAGAACTGGGAAGGACTGCATAGATATAGATGGAACAGAACTGGGAATGACTGCATAGATATAGATGGAAAAGATCTGGGAATGACTGCATAGATATAGATGGAACAGAACTGGGAATGACTGCATAGATATAGATGGAACAGAACTGGGAATGACTGCATAGATATAGGTGGAACAGAACTGGGAATGAGTGCATAGATATAGATGGAACAGAATTGGGAATGACTGCATAGATATAGGTGGAACAGAACTGGGAATGACTGCATAGATATAGATGGAATAGATCTGGGAATGACTGCATAGATATAGATGGAACAGAGCTGGGAATGACTGCATAGATATAGATGGGATAGAACTGGGAATGACTGCATAGATATAGATGGAACAGAACTGGGAATGACTGCATAGATATAGATGGAACAGATCTGGGAATGACTGCATAGATATAGATGGAACAGATCTGGGAATGACTGCATAGATATAGATGGAATAGATCTGGGAATGACTGCAGAGATGTAGATGGAACAGAACTGGGAATGATTCCATAGATATAGATGGAACAGATCTGGGAATGACTGCATAGATATAGATGGAATAGATCTGGGAATGACTGCATAGATATAGATGGAACAGATCTGGGAAGGACTGCATAGATATAGATGGAATAGAACTGGGAATGACTGCATAGATATAGATGGAACAGAACTGGGAATGACTGCATAGATATAGATGGAACAGAACTGGGAATGACTGCATAGATATAGATGGAACAGAACTGGGAATGACTGCATAGATATAGATGGAACAGAACTGGAAATGACTGCATAGATATAGATGGAACAGAACTGGGAATGACTGCATAGATATAGATGGAACAGAACTGGGAATGACTGCATAAATATAGATGGAACAGAACTGGGAATGATTCCATAGATATAGATGGAACAGAACTGGGAATGACTGCATAGATATAGATGGAACAGAACTGGGAATGACTGCAGAGATGTAGATGGAATAGAACTGGGAATGACTGCAGAGATATAGATGGAACAGAACTGGGAATGATTCCATAGATATAGATGGAACAGAACTGGGAATGACTGCATAGATATAGATGGAACAGAACCGGGAATGACTGCATAGATATAGATGGAACAGAACTGGGAAGGACTGCATAGATATAGATGGAACAGAACTGGGAATGACTGCATAGATATAGATGGAAAAGATCTGGGAATGACTGCATAGATATAGATGGAACAGAACTGGGAATGACTGCATAGATATAGGTGGAACAGAACTGGGAATGACTGCATAGATATAGGTGGAACAGAACTGGGAAGGACTGCATAGATATAGATGGAACAGAACTGGGAATGACTGCATAGATATAGATGGAACAGATCTGGGAATGCCTGCATAGATATAGATGGAACAGAACTGGGAAGGACTACATAGATATAGATGGAACAGAACTGGGAATGACTGCATAGATATAGATGGAAAAGATCTGGGAATGACTGCATAGATATAGATGGAACAGAACTGGGAATGACTGCATAGATATAGATGGAACAGAACTGGGAATGACTGCATAGATATAGGTGGAACAGAACTGGGAATGACTGCATAGATATAGATGGAACAGAGCTGGGAATGACTGCATAGATATAGATGGGATAGAACTGGGAATGACTGCATAGATATAGATGGAACAGAACTGGGAATGACTGCATAGATATAGATGGAACAGATCTGGGAATGACTGCATAGACATAGATGGAATAGATCTGGGAATGACTGCAGAGATGTAGATGGAATAGAACTGGGAATGATTCCATAGATATAGATGGAACAGATCTGGGAATGACTGCATAGATATAGATGGAATAGATCTGGGAATGACTGCATAGATATAGATGGAACAGAGCTGGGAATGACTGCATAGATATAGATGGAACAGAACTGGGAAGGACTGCATAGATATAGATGGAACAGAACTGGGAATGGCTGCATAGATATAGATGGAAAAGATCTGGGAATGACTGCATAGATATAGATGGAACAGAACTGGGAATGACTGCATAGATATAGATGGAACAGAACTGGGAATGACTGCATAGATATAGGTGGAACAGAACTGGGAATGACTGCATAGATATAGATGGAACAGAGCTGGGAATGACTGCATAGATATAGATGGGATAGAACTGGGAATGACTGCATAGATATAGATGGAACAGAACTGGGAATGACTGCATAGATATAGATGGAACAGATCTGGGAATGACTGCATAGATATAGATGGAATAGATCTGGGAATGACTGCAGAGATGTAGATGGAATAGAACTGGGAATGATTCCATAGATATAGATGGGATAGAACTGGGAATGACTGCATAGATATAGATGGAACAGATCTGGGAAGGACTGCATAGATATAGATGGAATAGAACAGTGATATTTTTGTTAATCTGACCATAATGCCTCCAAACAATCAATCCTGTAATTTTTCCAACAACCAATCCTGTAATTTTTCCAACAATCAATCCTGTAATTTTTCCAACAACCAATCCTGTCATTTTTCCAACAATCAATCCTGTAATTTTTCCAACAACCAATCCTGTCATTTTTCCAACAATCAATCCTGTAATTTTTCCAACAACCAATCCTGTCATTTTTCCAACAACCAATCCTGTAACGTTCATTTTTCCTGATCTCTCCTCAGGCAGCTCGGTGTGGAAAGCTTTTTATTTCACCCCAGACTTCTACCCAAAGGACAGAACCACCTGTCAACACACACAAGTCTGCCTCTGTTCTCCTGATTATGTCACCTCCCACAATCCTCCCCTTCTCTTTGATCTCTCTACGGACCCGTCTGAGACGCGGCCGCTGAGCCCGGACACCGAACCGGCGTTCCACTCTGTCCTTGCTGCCATGGAGCAGGCTGTGGAAGCCCACCAGAGCTCAGTGAGGCCTGTGGAGAGCCAGTTAAGTGCAGGAAACATGATGTGGAAGCCCTGGCTGCAGCCCTGCTGCTCCACCATCGCACAGCTCTGTCGGTGCCAACAGTACCAATAAACGCTGCTCAGAGGACCAGGCGGTACCGACCAGACCAAAACCTGGATCCAGCAGACAACCAGGAACATGAAGGAACTCTTTCATGGATTTGGAGGAGATGATGAAACATGTAAAGATCATGATCCTGGATGTGAAGTCTGCTGGTCATGTAATGATTTCAGTTTACAGTTCCCTGATTAAAGCTTGAACAACTTACCTGCTATATATTTGATTATTGATTATACACACATACATAAAGTTTTCTCATTCGGTCATCCCTGGTTAGAGTTATTAAAACATTAAAGTTAGAATCAGGTCCAGGTTCTTTAACATGGATTCCTGCATCCGTGCAGAGCGGCACCAACAGCTCAGTCTGGTTTTGCTCAGGTGGTCAGGAAGTCCAGACAGCGTTCTGATTAATGTACAGGTGGTTAGGGTGGGCTGGTATTAGAGCACATCTGAAAAGGTTAGCATCAAGCTTTCTAACAAAGGGAAGAATGAGAAGAGCTGCTTTAAAGTTATATTTGACCTCCGGTGTCTCTTATGCCCTCACCTCAGTCCAGTAAAGGAGCCCAGGAGAAAATAGCTGCAGTAGAAAATGTGTCTGCCCTGACCCCGGCCAGCTCACGTATGTGGAGAAGACCTGATGGTCCCAAACTGCCTGCAGAATGATGGAGGAGAACAGTTTCCTGTTGCGATAGCATTGACCATCAGGACCGCTTGGAGGCTTGATCCTCACATGGCAGCCGTCCATCGCTCCAGCAGCTTGGAGAAAAGCTCTGTGTCCTGCCAGCCCTTCAAACCCCTGGGTTACTGCTGCCAGGTCTTCTGCAGTTTGGGGAGGCAGATGACTCTGATGGCGGATGGCCACCACCTCCTCAGTAACCCGGTGGACGATGAACTGTGGAGCGAGGCATCCCAAACACCCTAGCCACCACTCTGTAGGATGCCCCACTCGCTAGCCAGAAGAGGAAGACCAAGGTGTCTATTGTGGCCCCCCATCCGTGTCTTCTTTCCTGGCAGAGAAGCTCCAGCAGCACCACCAGAGACTCTCTGCTCAGCAGAAAACTTGGTGTGGTGATCATTTCAAAATATTTGGAGAACGGGAACATATAAAATTTGATCTCTAAACATATTGGTCAATCTGCTGACCAATATGAAGTGTTTGTTTAATAGCTGGTATGTTCTGATCATTAGCAGGGCCCTGGGGGGGGAAATAATAGCAGGTAAATGTTACCTCTCTGTAACAGTTATGGGCTAGGCAGCTAACTGCGATATCAGAAAACAGTTCGTTAAGGACCCTGAGGTGTGAATAAAAACACAAGGAAACTGTTTTAGTTTTTACGCAAGTGTATTATTGTTTTTCCTTGTAAACAGGAAAAAATAAGGGGCAGGAAAAACAACAACAACAAACAAATAAAAAAATTACAAATACACAAATAAAGCAATTTAAGAGTCCTAGGGGTCTTGTCCTTTTTTAGCTCGCCATCAGTTGTTCAGGATCTGAGGATCTGATCCATCATATAAAAAAACCCAACCTAAAAGGCCAGAAAACCCATTAAGTGTTTTAACAAACACAAATGCAACAAATAAAGTCAATACAACTATCAAATATCTAATAATTAAACATCTCAATCAGGTTAAATTAACCATAATTTAAATAAACAAAAAGAATAATCATTTCAAACTAATCAATTAAGGTTAAACTTGAAAAGTTGAAATCAAAGTTAACTTTCAAAATATCAAATAAATTAACTCAAATACTCAAGCAGTGTGAGGAAAAGAAATTAAATAAATATACTGCGCAATATCAATTTAAATGTAGCTACATGATCCTATTTTAATACATTTCATTTCACAAAGTGCCCAAACACACACCATACCAGCAGTTTAGTTACCTTAAAGCAGGGAGTGGGACGCACCCAACAGCGATCAGCTGTGACAGCCCAGGCACAACAGCAACTGTTCTAATAAAACAATGCTCTAATGAGCAATCACACAGCAATTGCATACCAATCCCATACTGCTATGCTAGGAACAAACTCACCAAGAGAGCAAATCAGTGGTTTCAGAGATTTGGATTATTTCCAGGGTGAAATGTTCAGCAGGACGCCAACAGCCAGCCACAATCACAGTGGAACAGGTGATGTAGCTTAACCTGGCTGGAGGCGGGGCTTTAAATAAGTTGAGGAGTTTGGGCAAAACAGGAAGTGGGCCCGCAAAAATAAAAGTCTTGATTGATTGACTAATTGCAGGTTACATCTCCACTGCCTCTCACAGCCTGAGAAAAATCTAAATCAGTGAAAACTTTTGCTGCCGCCGAAGTCGTCAAAGCCGACTCTCCTCCCCCAATAAGAAGTAAACAAAAAAAACAAAATAAAAATTTCCATATCCATTTTTTTTTGTTGTTGTTTCTTCTGTCGGATTTTGTTGGCTGCTGTTTTGGGGTGGACGTGATGACGTGTTGCAACCAGGAAGTGCTCCAAATGCTAGACCGTCCCATTTACCAACGGCTGAGGAACCTCCGGAGCAGCCTCCCAAGGCTGGGTCCTCCTCCGGCTGAGTAAGCCAGGTCCTTCGAAGGATGCAGCCTGCCAATTGAGACGCAGCTGACGTGTCTGCTGCTTTCTGGGCTGATACTGCATTTCAACAGCAGCTCATCTTCCTGGCTCAGTGCAATAGCACATCAATCCAGTTGGAAAGAAAACCTGCAGCCACACAGCCCCTTCTGGAACCAGTTTGACACCCCTGCTATAGGCTAACTAGTAGCTCAGTGCTACTGGTGTGATTCTGCAGCCACTGAAACCATCCTGCACTCTGATCATGCTAACTATAGGCTGTGGGACTAAATCTTTGATCCGTAATCATGCAATGATGTACCTTTGGAAATGCGCTGATCACCAGAGGGACTTGGGAAACAAAATGTTCATTAAACTGCGAAACAATAAAAGAAAAACAGACTTCCTGGTGAAATAGATGTCCGTCTGATGAGTAGAGTCTTATTAGACTCAGACTCTGGTCTACACCAGACTGGGCAAATCACAGTGCAGGAGGAGTGAGCTTACCCTTGCATCAGTTTCCCATAAAGCAACAGTGCATTTTTGAAACAGTCAGGATTGCAGCATCAACACAGCAATGTTTTAATAATGCCCTTCACCGTGTCCCCAAAGAGCTGGATAAATATTCCAAAGCTGCTTTGGAGCATTTTTCCAAAAACTCCTGCAGATATCTGATCGGTTCTGATCCATTTCTGCTGACTCTGCGCTTGAAATCGGGCTCTATCCGCTCTGGATTATCAGTCTGTGGGCAGACTGACTGACCGAAGGTGTAAGGGAAATCCTGGATGATGGTTTAAGGAGTACACATAAAATCAGCATCTGCTTATCAATTCAAACCTGTTGATATTAACAACGGTACATAAATGCCAGTTTAAGCATCCCTGGATGAGGTCTTTGAGGTCTCTGCTTCTTTCTGCCGCCCGATGCACCAGTTTCTCATTGGTTCCACTGCAGGTGGTGGTCCCACTGAGGGTTGGCCTGAGGTCATGGCTCTTAGCTCTGATCCAGCCGGTCCCATGAGGAGGAACTGGACTAGGATTATTGCTGGCAATAAGCTGGACCTGTTGCTGGTGACTGTGTGACTGTGGCAGGGTGACCCTCTTTCAGTCTGTTGTGGTGGAGAAAGACCTGGCTGTTAGAAGTCAGCTGATGCTACCTAGACGCTTCCCCCAGGAGGTGTTCCAGGACCATCCCACTGGGAGGAGGACCGGGGATACCATGGAGGGACAATGTGTCTCTGCTGGCCTAACGGCTTTGAGCCAGGTGTTAATTGAATGACTGAACCAGTTTGTTTACTGTAAGAGGCGTTCTGGTCTTCAATAAAAACGTAGATGATTAGGAGATTTCTTTGGGAAAAATGTGTCTCTTAGATAAACACTCCTAAAGTTTTTACACTTGTTAAACACAGATGTCTTAGGGTTGGGCTAAAGTCACACATGCTTTGGTGGGGTTAGACCACAGCAAAAGCTGTTTGATTTCTGAAAGTCCAAACTTTTCCCACTGTGGGTTGGACTCTGCCCCTTCAATCCTGGATGGGGTGTTCATCACCAGATCAATTGGGGGGAATCAATGTCCCTGTGCAATACCAACGTTTGCAGCAAAATGTGAAGTGGTTGGGATCATAGATCTGGGAATGAAGTGGTTGGGATCATAGATCTGGGGATGAAATTGTTGGGATCATAGATCTGGGTGTGAAGTGGTTGGGATCATAGATCTGGGGATGAAATTGTTGGGATCATAGATCTGGGTGTGAAGTGGTTGGGATCATAGATCTGGGTGTGAAGTGGTTGGGATCATAGATCTGGGAATTAAGTGGTTGGGATCATAGATCTGGGGATGAAATTGTTGGGATCATAGATCTGGGTGTGAAGTGGTTGGGATCATAGATCTGGGGATGAAATTGTTGGGATCATAGATCTGGGTGTGAAGTGGTTGGGATCATAGATCTGGGTGTGAAGTGGTTGGGATCATAGATCTGGGTGTGAAGTGGTTGGGATCATAGATCTGGGTGTGAAATTGTTGGGATCATAGATCTGGGTGTGAAGTGGTTGGGATCATAGATCTGGGTGTGAAGTGGTTGGGATCATAGATCTGGGGATGAAATTGTTGGGATCATAGATCTGGGTGTGAAGTGGTTGGGATCATAGATCTGGGTGTGAAGTGGTTGGGATCATAGATCTGGGTGTGAAGTGGTTGGGATCATAGATCTGGGTGTGAAGTGGTTGGGATCATAGATCTGGGTGTGAAGTGGTTGGGATCATAGATCTGGGAATGAAGTGGTCGGGATCATAGATCTGGGTGTGAAATTGTTGGGATCATAGATCTGAGTGTGAAGTGGTTGGGATCATAGATCTGGGAATGAAGTGGTCGGGATCATAGATCTGGGTGTGAAATTGTTGGAATCATAGATCTGGGTGTGAAGTGGTTGGGATCATAGATCTGGGCATGAAGTGGTTGGGATCATAGATCTGGGTGTCAAGTGGTTGGGATCAAAGATCTGGGCATGAAGTGGTTGGGATCATAGATCTGTGTGTCAAGTGGTTGGGATCATAGATCTGGGCATGAAGTTGTTGGGATCGTAGATCTGGGAGTGAAGTGGTCGTGACCATAGGTCTATGTGTGAGGTGTTTGGGATCATAGATCTGGGTGTGAAGTTGT